TGAATTGGAACGACAGGACAGAGGAAGCCCGTTCTGCTGTGTGAATGTTTATTTTTCATAACTCATGCCTGTAGCAACTGTAGCTAACTTTATATTTCTGGATCTTTCGCCAGTTTTTCCTAACACATCCAGGGCACTGCGTGAAGACAATGGCTGCTTTTACATACAACAGTCCCTAATGACGTTGATATTACGTGGGTAGTGGTTCTGGCATATACATATCTCTCAGTTGGGAGAGTGTTAATATGTCTTAATAAAAGTAGTTATCAGCTAAGGCATTGCAGTGGCACTGACACATGTTTCTGATTAAACCACAGGAATGGCCTTCAATGATACCATTGGGAAAAGGCGAGATTCAGAAAGTGTGATGTTCTTAGTGTTTATTCAGTGATCTTTAATACCACATTCCACATCATAACCGGAGGCAAAGCTCTGAAACCAGATAATTATAATAATAATAATAATAATAATAATAATAATAATAATCCCTGCAATTGATATCGCGCCTTATCGTCCGGATTAATGATGGTATTCATTTAACGAGACACCGCCTTTAATACTTTACAACCGGGCAACAAGAAGCCACTAGATTCACATCGCTTTTACTCAAGCAATAAGGTTGATGTAGCCAAAGTAAGCAGATCCCGAGCGCTGTCTGACTGTCTGAGATGCAGCTCGCTGGCTGCCCACCCAATGGGTGATGGGAATTGACAGCCCCCGAATCCCTTTGCTCGTCAAATCATTCGACAGCTGTCAATCACATGTTACTTTGCCGGGAGCAGGTGCAGAAGACTGACAATTGTGAAAATTCAGGAGTAATAAAGCTACAGTAACCTGATTAGTCGGTCCCTTGTGCCAACGTATATGGCTCTTCCTAACTCTGGGTACGTGTACCGGCCCCCCACAGGAATGATAATAACAATAATAATAATAATAAGCCTTGCATGTGATACAGCACCTTATCACGTCTCAAAGCGTTTCACAGAATATACTCTAATGTGAATTTACTGTACATTTTTGTGGGCGAAACGCAGCAGCAAATTGCGCACCGACCGCAGTGTCCCACAAACAGCTGTGGATTGAGTGACCAAATTATTATTATTTTTAAAAGAATGTTTTGAAGGGATTATTACTTCCCGGAAAAGCGATCCGCCAATCAACTAACCACCGGGTTCCTACTTACTGCTAGGTAAACAGAGCCGTGTGGAGTAAGGAAACTTGCCGAAGGTTTCACCCCGCCCGGGTCCTCCTGCTTGCAAGGCGAGCGTTATAACCACTACAGGACTCCGCACGTACTGACCCCTCACAGTATTCGCTAGAAACCTCTCTGTACCATTCTCTCCTCTCCTGTGTTACTCAGTGCACTGAAATGCCAGCATTGTGTGAGTCAATTATGTCATTGCATTGGTAATGGAGTTTTTCTGGGTTTATTTCACTCTTGGGAGACCTGTGAACTGATGAATGCTACAGGCATGAGTGAATTATTACAATATATGCCGCCAAAGTTAAATTAAAACTCTGAACTGCTGGCACAGACAGATCTTTAATTTAATTACGATTTCCCCGCCTATCGATTTTTCAAATATAATTTTTAAAAATATCTCCCCTCCTCTCCTGCAGCCACTGACCCAGGCTGTGGTTCAGTTTTTTATAGGCTGTATCAGTTCTTCCAAGGAATTCACTTCAGAGTCCAGACAGTGAGTGTAATTTAAAGAATAATTCTTATATTTGATACAGCGCCTTTCATCTTGGGAGGACGTCTCAAAGTGCTTCACAGGATACATGGAAAGTGAAGTGCCTGTGTGTGTTTTGTGGGAGCCAAAACTCCTTTCCCTTTTTGAATAGTACCATGGGATCGTTAACGTCCCCCTGAGCAGACACAGACTTGGTTTAACGTCTCATTTGACTTCTCTGACAATGCAGCACAAAATTTAACCTCTCAACAACTTTATCAGGTCTTCAGACAATGCCTTATCCCCTCACTCTCCCCTACCCACACCCACACCCACACACACACACACAAAGTGTTTAACATTCACTGGATATGTACAAAAAGGCACTTAAAAGTTGAAACAAAGTCCAGAATAAAAAAAAGTAGAGTCATTTTTAACACTTCAAAATAAATACATTTCTGACAAAACGGACTCGTGGCTCAACGATGAGTGGTTTGAAGATCAGCTTGTGGAGATGTGTGGAAAAGGCAAGTCTGTCACCTTGAAGTCACACGTCCAAATCAAAGGCTTTCTCTCTGTTGATACAAGTCTGTCAGAGACGCGATAATTAAATGTCAATCCTTTGGAAATGTTAAGCGGATCTCAGCTCAGGTTAAGCGTATCAGAAGCCGGGTTAACAAGCACGGGAATGTCTGAAATTCTTTATCATGTTACTTTCTAACTGAACTGTGATTACGCTTTGCAAAAACTAATTGAGTGGCAGAAGATAATGTGGCAGAAGATAATGCAAAAGCACTAAAAACCTTTGAGATGCCCGCTGTATAAATGGTGCAAGGCTGGGGAGTAGGACTCCGATTGCAGTGCTGGATGTGCCAAGAGGTCCCATTTGCACCTCTTCTCCAGCATGTAACCGGGCTGAGTGACCAAATTATATATTTATTTGTTTATTTGTTTTTTTATTCATTTATTTATTTATCCTGAAGGGATTATTACCCCCGCAAAGCGATCCGCCCATCGACTAACAACCGGGTTCCTACTTACTGCTAAGTAAACAGAGGCCAAATCACTAGGTAAAATCACTAGGTATAAACTGATAAAAGTTATCAGGAAAGGTCATTGAAACAAAGCAAATGCGTTCAAGATATAGAGATGATTAGATATTCAGATCTAATGGAAGTCCCCACCCCCCACCCCCCAAACACACACATACACACACTTTATATTTTCTAGTGGACATGCTGGGTCATTATAAACCCCCTCCCCTTCTAACCATCAACCCCTCCATCCCACACCGCAAACCATTTCCCCACGTGAATTTTATCAGCTGTAGCTGATAAATTATTAGCACGTATCTGCTTAAAGCCAGCGACCTTGAATTCTGCCAGCGAGCTTCTTCACTGGAGTTTGGATGCTTAAGGCATCAACAGTTCATTCCGAATGAGTACACCTGTCTCACTGTATGAATGTAGTCCAACTTGCTGGTCTTCCTTACCTTGGCATTCTGACTACCATGTAATACACGCTTTGCTCTTTTATCATCTCTTTCTCATTTGGGTTCAAGACTAGACTTTTGTAGGCAAGGTGCGCTTGTAGAGTTTTATTAACTGGAAAAGTCTTGCAGTCCCGTAGGGTAATGGTTTGCGCGCTAGCCTTGCGAGAGAGAGAGAGAGAGAGAGAGGAACACGGGTTTGATTCCCGAGTGGGGTGAAACCTGAGGCAAGTTTCCTTACTCCACACCGTCTGTTTACCTTGTCGTAAGTAGGAACTAGGGTTGTCAGTCACTTGGCACTGATCAGCTCAGTCTCTTTGCACTGTGTTAGCAGAGAGACTGTGCAGGAAGATGATGCCACCTAATGTCCTTCTTATGTCTCTGCAGTGTAAGCTGTACTGGTTGAAGGTGGATGAATATTTTCTCCTTGTTGTATAATAATAATAATCCTTGCATTTGATATAGCGCTTTCCACGTCTTCTCGACGTCTCAAAGACGTAAAGAATAGACTGTAATGTGAATTGACTGTATATTTGTGGGCGAAATGCGGCAGCCAATTGCGCACGGCAGTGCCCCACAAACAGTCGTGGATTGAAGCGACCAATTTATTGTTGTTTTTTTTTCTTGAGGGATTATTATCAGGCGTGTGGAGTAAGGAAATTTGTACTGCCCTCTGCCTCCTTACTCCAATCCTTGCTACCATGTATCTGAGAATGCTCTGTAACCAGTTGTGGTTGGGTGTGTGTGTGTGTGTGTGTGTCTGTGAGAATAGCCTGGGGAGCTGTCACCTTGATTTTCTCCCTCCCCTACCCTTAGGAAAAGTCACTCATCCTTTGAGTGTGTTGAATAGATGAACGAGAGTGCAGAATTATAGACCTGAACCCACTTCCTGGTGTTACATTGGCTAACGTATGAGCTCAACGTCTGCGTCCCAATGTCTAAGCACTTTGAGATGTTCTCGATGACGTGATAAGGTGCTATATCAAGGATTATTATTGGGTGGAGTTCTGCAGCGTATTGGTTAGAGCACTCGCCTCGCAAGTAAGAGGACCTGGGTTCAATTCCCAGGCGGGGAGAAACCTTTGGCAGGTTTCCTTACTCCATACGCCTCTGTTTACCTAACAGTAGATAGAAACCCGGTTGTTAGTCGATTGGCGGACCACTTTCTGGGGTTAATAATCCCCCCACCCTCCCCACTCCCCAAAAATGGACTCACTCAATCCACATCTGTTTGTGGGACACTGCTGTGTGCAATTGGCTGCCGTGTTTTCCCCACAAATATAAAGTCAATTCAAATTACAGTAATTCCCGTGAAACGCTTTGAGAGACGTTCTCGACGGCCTGACAAGGCACAACATCAAATGCAAAGATTATTATTATTATTAATAAAATATTAAACTCTTGTAATATATCATTATGTTAGGAAGCTCAGGTGGAATAAGGAAAGTAAAATCCATTGATACGTAAAGTGGCAGGGATATGACTATTATTACTATTGTTATTATTATTACAGTATGATTACTCCGGCATTTCGCCCACAAATAAACAGTCAAATCACTTTACAGTCTATTCCGTGAAGCGCTTTGAGACGTCTCGAAGACGTGATAAAGCGCTAGATCAAAGGCAAGGATTATTATTATTATTATTACAGTATTATTATTACCCTCTTTTCCCCAAACCCTCCCTTGCTGGTGGCTGGTTGCTGTCCAGTGCTGCGGTGCTGAATCCCACCACTCCCCAGCGCTGTGGAGGCTTGGCTGGGGGGTGGGGGGGGGGGAGCTGATGCCTTCCTTGGCTCAGCTCAGCTCCCAACCTCACACCGTCAGTCATCTCGCCTGCTACTACAGCATGTAAAGCAGTGGCTGGATTGACTAGCACTAGCCCCGAGCGATGAGACAGGGACTGTCGGGGTTTTGCATTGCACAGCCATGGATGAGGACCTCTTTCAGCTCCGGCACCTGCCGTAAGTAACAGCACAGCACGGCACAGGGCGATGCAGAGAGATGGAGAGACCCAGAGAGAGAGAGAGAGACTCACACACACACACACACACGCAACCTAGACACACACACACACAGCCATATAAAGGCCTCCTGCAAACTACAAGCCAGCCTGACACATCATTTCACAATCCAGCTCTTATTTACTGGCCAGGATTTTTATAAACAGAAAACGCACTCACACGCACACACAGAGAGAGCGAGCGCCAAGCAAGTATAAATGGAAATTAATTAATTAAATAAATAAATAGTAATAATAACCCTTGCATTTGATAACAGCGCCTTTTCGCGTGGTTGAGATGCCTCAAAGTGCTTCGCAGGATGTATCCTAAAATGGATTGACTGTGTATTTTGTGGGCGAAATGCAACGTTCAGCTTTTTCTATAATTCTGTTGTTTGCATCTTAGCTGCTGAGAGTCTCCACTTTTTTTTAACACGACGAACTGTTTTTTCCATCCCTGAACTGATGGAAATGACAAAGGATAACAAAGAAAAATACATGAAAATAGGTCTGATTATATATACACACATATAATATATTTTGTCCCGTGATAGGTATTTGATTAATGATCCCATAAAGTGGATTTGCTGTTTTTTTTAAAAAGAGAAGTGACATGGTTTGTTGAGTCCCAGAGTTTGCACTGTAAATTATCTGCATTCAGCAAGATTTTATTTTATTCTATTCTGCATTTACAAACGTCTTTTTAACCGAGTTTATCTTTTCGTTTGTTTCTTTGATGCGAAAAATGCACCGATGTGTTTGCACACTGTCCGTGTAATTTTTGAGGAACCTAATGCCAAACAACAAGCAGCATTAAACATCGGTAATGAAGCCAGTGACAATGTTTACAGTGCAGAAAATGACAGAGCTTTTGTTACCATTAATATGCTTCACCTCCTAGTTACCCCAAGAACAGGCAAATCAAAAACAACTCCATCCTCAAATGCCTTGTTGACCAACAACACAGTACTGGAGATGCAAATGATTTGAACGACGATAAGAGAAGGAATGAAATGGATTTTCTTTTGATGAAATTCTATCTGTACAGGAGACAGGTGCAAATTCCAATGTTAGCATTTAATATTAATGTGTTGATACAGTCTGGTGAAGTGCTGAGCACTGTCTGAGCTGAGCGTTCATATGCACACGGATTAATCACTGTATGTAGGCCATGAATGAGACCTTCCGCAGGTTCCTATGCTTTGTTCTCATTGTGTTCGGAGCGGGATAGGAAATTGGGCTTTAACCCTGCGAGTACTGAATTTTCCTTTAAGGTTCCCTGTGTTGTATAATCCTGTTGTTTCGCCCATAAAAATGCACAGTCAATTCACAATGTACACAATATTTACAAAATACGTTTCTGCGAAGCGCTTTGAGATGTCTCAAGGACGTGATAAGGCGTTATATCAAACGCAAAACATTTATTCAATTTTTTAAAAAGAAAATCCCCAAAGGCTGTGAATGCTGGATCCATTCAAATTTTCAAGAAATGTTTTGTTGGGTCAGGGTATCAAGAGTTATGGGGCAAGGGGGGTAAATGGAGTTGAGGTACTGATCAGCCATGATCTTATAGAATGGCAGAACAGGCTCGAGGGGCTGAATGGCCTATTCCTGTTCCTTTGTTCCTATGCAAGAATTATTATTAATCCTTCAAAGTGCTACAAAAAAAACTGAAATACCTTCAAATTTCAATATTAAATATTTCAGCATTAATATTAAATCCACAGCATTTAATGGTATAGAATCAAGAAATTCATGGAAATCAGGAATGAATCAATGAATCAGGAGCCGGTATATCACGTCTGCATGGTTAACCAGCCAAAGACTTAAGGCGGAAGTGGGTTGTGGTGGGGCAAAGAGGGACAATGCATTGTAAGGATGATTACAATTAAAAATAAATGCAGATCAGCTTTCAAGTAGTTAACGCAATTAATTCCAAGAGAATTCACACTGATTAACATGGACTTTAGACATTAATTACATTGCTGTACGATCAGGAGTTGATGGACTTGACACAATCTTTTGTCTCTGAGAATGTCAATGGATAAATAATAATAATTATAATAACCCTTGCATTCGATATAGCCTTCACACTTTGTGGAAATGACTCAAAGTGCTTCACAGATTATATTGTAAAGCGGATTGATTGTGTATTCATCAGTATCCCACGAACAGTTATTGATTGAGTGACCAATATTTTTTTGAGGGATTATTACCACCTGGAAAGTGATCCTCCCTTGCCTCCTTCAAGGTTAGTCTCAAGACTTTCCTCTTTAATCGGGCATTCAGCCAACCTCCCACCTGCCCTACCCTCCACCCCTCGTGATTCCAACCCCTAACTGGGTGGCAAACCCTTAACTCTCCAATGCCTTGAGATGACCATCAGACGTGAAAGGACATGCATTATATTAACATAATTTTGTTGTTATTGTTCAAATGATGTTCTGGACCTACAAAAACACCAATTAGCATTCATTTTCCAGTTCAAAACCACCTACAAGTATCATGAAAAGAATGGATCACGGCTGAATATGTAACGTGATGCATAGCTCCACTTGTGAGTTGAACATTAGTGACCTATGACTTTGACACTTGCATTATCTGCTCAGCCTCAATCAGGGAAATATTTATCTTATATCCCAGGCCAGTCACAAAGAGCGTAGCCTTTATTTATACACTAGTAAAATGACTATGTGTAGCCCAATTGTTTACTGTGGGTCTGCTTTACATATGGTCACACCAGCCTCTAATGAATAGAAGTAACTCGTTGTCTGGTGGGGAGATCAAATTACATTAACAACAAACGTTATCTGATTATTGTAATGTAATGCCGTTGAGACATACTCAAACCGGTAATTCTCCATTACAATAATAATAATTCTTGCACTTGGTATAGGCATCGTTGAGCCATCTCAAAGCGCTTCACAAAATATACTGCAAAGTGAATTGACTGTATATATTTTGTGGGTGAAGCTCAGCAGCCAATTGTGCACATCAGTGTCCCACAAACAGTCGTGGATTGAGGGACGATATTATAATTATTCATTTAGTTATTTGTGTTTTTGAGGGATTATTACCCCTGGAAAGCAATCTCCCAATTTGGGTTCCTACTAACTTACTAGGTAAATAAAGGCATGTGGAGTAAAGAAACTTGCCTCAGGTTTCGCCCTGCCCGAGAATCGAACCCGGATCCTCTCGCTTACAAAGCGAGCGCACTCACCAATACACTACAGGACGCTTGCAACCGGTTGTGAAATTTTCATACCATTATTATTAGATGAATTGAAACTCGGGCCACAGAGGTGAAAGCATCATTTTCAAACAGCGTGTATAGAGAATAATAGGCATCTGTGAGTGAGTTTTAAACTGTAATCTTGTTGTAGGATTCAGATGTTTTATACAGATAATAATGATACATACGGTTGACCTACAGCCTGTAATCTTATTTGGAGGATTCAGATAGTTTAGATGGAGAATAATAATAATAATCCTTGCATTTGATCCTTGCAAGTGCTTCACAGAATAAACTGTAAAGTAAATTGACTGTATATTTGTGGGCAAAACGTGGGAGCCAATTGCACACAGCAGTGTCCCACAAACAGTCATGGATTGAAGGACCAAATTATATTTTTTTTGTTGGAGGTATAATTACCCCCGGAAAGCGATCTTCCAATCGACTAACAACCAGATTCCTATTAGCTTTTATGTGACTGTGCATTTTGTAGGCAAACATGGCAGCCAATTTGCACACAGCAAAGTCCCATAAACAGCCAGGAAGTGAATGTGAGTGACCAATTTTATCCGGACGATTGTTGGCCAGGACACTGGGAGAAACTCCCTTCTCTTTATGAAAAGTGCCATGAGATCTTTAAAGTCCTCCTGAACAGGCAGATGGGAACTCGGTTTAACATCTCATCTGAACGACAACACATCTGACAATGTGCTACCGCAAAATACCACCAATTAGTGTCAGTTTGAGTGAAGGTCTTAGGCAGCGATCAAGAGATTGATTGTGTCTACAGCTTTGGTGTCTCATTCTGCTCCGGCCTAATCTGGCTTGTAGGAGTTCCTGATACAAACAGCACAGCACAGTAGAGTTAACATCAATAGATACAGTTGTTAAGACAGGCTATTTCCTTAGGATAATCAAGTAAATTTGTCTTCTCTCCATTGTGAGACTTAGTCACTCTTCCAATACAATTTCCCTCAAAGCATGTTAAAATTAAACATTATTCTTCATTTATTTTAGGATAAATTCTCTTATTATTATTATTACAAAAAGAAATCGAAAGGAAGACAACTTTCCAGGTCAGGTTTGCTGATGCAAGTGTTATTAGAATTTCCATGGCGCTCACTGGCTCAATGATGAAATAAAGCGCTGTAGCAAATGCAAGGATTATTATATTATTATTATTATTATGATCCTATGGTTTGTTGGTGTGGTTTCAGCGTGGTCAAGTTCCGTCGCACGGGAGAAAGTGCAAGGTCTGAAGATGACACATGTTCTGGAGAGCATGAGATTGAGATAGAAGGAGTTCGCACTAACCTGGAACCTGTTGAATTGGAGGATGGAACTGCTGTGCCAAAGGATTTTGCTAACCCAACAGACGGTAGAGTATCTCAAGTCTTTGACCAAAGAGCGGTGTGCAATGTATTAGTGCATCTCGTCAAGCTCCGCTGGCTCCCTATCACTGAACGCATCGATTTTGAGATCCTCACACTCGTTTTCATATCCCTTCATGCCCTGGCACTTCCTACCTCTCCTTCTTGCTTACTCTCTAACCCACTACCCATAGCCTCCGCTCGACTGGCTCCGGCTTCCTGCTTGTACCTCGTGCCCTCCGTTCCACCATCGGTGGTACTGAATGTTTTTCCGTGTCTCCAGATGTGTTCATGGTGGAAGATGCTATGGAGGCTATTGGATTTGGGAAGTTTCAATGGAAACTCTCAGTGCTTACTGGCCTGGCGTGGGTAAGTCATAGATAATCCATCTGTTACCATCTCTTCCACTGTCCCAGTCGCCTGACTGTGCGTCTCTGCTAAGCTTCTAGTTCACTTCTGTCATGGTGAAGAAAAATGGGAAAAACTCTATTTGGGGGAATAGTGACCAGTAGATTTCAATGGACTAGTTGATCCTCTGCTGTGGCCATTGTAGGCACTTAAGTGCCTCTCATGACATTGTAACATTAAACCTATTACTACATCCCTCGCCCGGCTCCGCTGTGTAAATGTAATTTGTCGTGGCTGTAGTTGTAGTCGACTTGTCCTACAGTATGTTTCCCTCTCCCTTGGCTCTTGTAGATGGCAGACGCCATGGAGATGATGATCCTCAGTATTCTGGCTCCTCAGCTACACTGCGAGTGGAGATTACAGAGCTGGCAAGTCGCACTGCTCACCTCGGTATGGTAACGTAACGATCAGAGTTCTGGCTCAGCGTCTGAGAACATTCTTGTTGGTCACTGATTCAAGAGATTTCACTAAAGTTCATTTTGTTCCTGTTTCCTGTCGTTCCTTGCCCCTTCCTTTCCTCCCTTTTCTTTCCCCTCTCTTCTATCCTCTCTCCTACTTTCTCTGTTCCCTTCTCTGCCTCTTCCATTCTCTCTCTCTCTCTCTCTTTCTCTCTCCCCCTTCCCCACCAGGTGGTATTCATTGGGATGATGTCCAGCTCATCCCTATGGGGAAACATATCAGACCAGTACGGCAGAAAGACAGTAAGTATAACACACACACACACACACACTTATGTAAAGTGTTTTGAGGATAAGGATGGAAATGTATTTACACCAAAATACAAATTTGATCCAATTTCCTTTACTTCTGCCCTAATGACCTGGTCGAGTCCAGTAGCTTAGTGGTCAGCGTGCTCACCTCGCAAGCGAGGGAACCCGGGTTTCATTCCCGAGCAGGGTGAAAACTTAGGTAGGTTTCTTTACTCGACACGCCTCTGTTTACCTAGCAGTAAGCAGGAACCCGGTTGTTAATCAATTGGCGGACCGCTTTCCAGGGGTAATAGACCCTCGAAAAAAACATTCACTCAATGGTCGCTCAATCGATGCCTGTTTGTGGGACACTGCAGTGCACAATGGGCTTCCGTGTTTCGCTGTACAAAATGTACAGTCAATTCACTTTACAGTCTATTCTGAGAAGGGCTTTGAGACGTCTCGAAGACATGATAAGGCGCTGTATTAAATGCAAGGATTATTATTGTTATTATTATGATTCTGTAAATCATGGCTATGTTCAGTTTCTTTCTAAGCAATGCACTGTATCACTACTACAACCGCTGTGCAATTTACCATGTATGTTGGTCTGTGTTGATGCCAGGGTTTGAAAGTGAGTGTGCTTTGGACACTGTACTATGGAGTTCTGAGTGCCTTCTCACCAATCTACAGTTGGATCCTGGTGCTCAGAGGGCTAGTGGGCTTTGGCATCGGAGGAGTCCCACAATCGTGAGTCAATTGCAATAAGGTTCAACATGACTTTAACCTTCTCTACTTTGCTAAAAATAAATAAAACGTTGAACTAAATCCTGTCTTCTCGGGCCCTTCATACAGGGTGACGTTATATGCAGAATTCCTTCCAATGAAATCAAGAGCAAAGTGCATCTTACTTATAGAGGTGAGTGGCCATGATAACGATTTGCATTGAATTTTTTTGGGAGAGGGTGTTATTATTCCTTTGAGTTTATTAAGGTGAGGGACATCACTAGAAAGAAGTGGAGTCCTGCAGTGTAGTGATTAGCGATTAGCTTTCTGGGGGTAATAATCCCTTCCAAAAAAAGAAATGTTATACAAAAAAAAATCCACGACTGTTTGGCTGCCGCGATTCGCCCACAAAATACACAGTCAATTCACTTTAAAGTATATTCCGTGAAGCGCTTTGAAACGTCAAGAAGACGTGATAGGGCGCTGTGTCAAAGGCAAGTATTATTATTATTATTATTATTTTCAGGTGTTCTGGGCGTTCGGGACGGTGTTTGAGGTACTGCTGGCGGTGTTGGTGATGCCCACTCTCGGCTGGCGCTGGCTGCTCATCTTCTCTGCGGTTCCTCTCATGATATTCGCCGTCTTGTGCTTTGTAGGTATCTCCCCTGAATACTGTGCCAAAGCAAAAGGCGATGATAGCATTGCATGAACTCAGTGGTTCGTTGGTGAGGGGAGGGGAAGGGGAGAAAATACGCCATACTTTGACATATTGCCTTGTAGGAGGTTTAGCGCAAGATGCCACGTGGTGAGTTCATGATGCTGGTTGCGCTCACACACACAACGCACAGAGTTCCCGCACCATCTGGGAAGGGATGTCTATCAATTGCTCCCCATCGCTCTCTTCCAGTGGCTTCCAGAAAGTGCCCGTTATGACGTATTGTCTGGGAACCAGGAGAAAGCCCTCGCTACACTGAAACGCATCGCTACAGAAAATGGAGCTCCCATGCCACTTGGAAAGCTGATAGTTGCCAGACAGGTAAGTGCTACTAATTGTTTTATGTCATGTGGTAACAGTATCAGGCAAGAGGAGACCAGTGGTTTATCCAACTACCCGTCTAACTTAACAGAAGTTATCTCTGACACACCTGTCTATCTATCGGAGTCCTGTAGGGAAGTGGTTAGCGCGCTCGCCTTGCAAGCGAGAGGATCCGGGTTCAATTCCCGGGTGGGACGAAACCTTTAAGGCAAGTTTCCTTACTCCACACACGTCTGTTTACCTCGCAGTAAGTAAGAACCGATTAGTCGATTGACAGATTGTTTTCTGGGCGTAATAATCCTTTCAAGAGAAAATGATAATAATTATCTGGCACTCAATCTGTGAGTGTTTGTGGGACACAGCTGTGTGCAATTGGCTGCCGGTTTCGCCCACAAAATATGCAGTCAATTTACTCAAAGCGTGAAACGCTTTGAGACACCTCGACAACATGATAAGGCCCTATATCAAATGCGATGATGATTATTGTATTATTATATGTGGTGCATCAGCCTGGGGAGCAGGGCATTGAGGGGACTCAATGTGGGGTTGTTATAATAAGGGAAACAGTCCTGTTTGTCTAACTGAATATTTGTTTGAGATAGGCGGAGCGTGGCCGTATCCAGGACCTCTTCACCCACAGTTTCGACTGACGACCATCCTCCTATGGTTCATTTGGTAAGGTTTTGATAGGATAGACATAGGGAGGATGTTTCCACTTGTGGGGGAGACCAAAACCAGGGGCCATCAATATAAAATAGTCACAAATAGATCAAATAGGGATGTTAGAAGAAATGTCTTCACACAGAGAGTAGAGGGAATGTGGAACATTTTACCACAAGGAGCTGTTGAGGCAAATAGCATAGACATATTTAAGGGGAAGCTGGAGAGGTACATGAAGGAGAAAGGAATAGAAGGTTATGTTTGAAAGCTTAGTTGAGGAAGGGCAGGAGGAGGCTCATGTGGAGCATAAACACCGGCATAGATCAGTTGGACCGAATGGCCTGTTTCTGTGCTGTATATTCTAATGGATTCTAATGTAAGGTGAAGATCCTCTGTATATGCTGAAGCTAAACCAGATGCAGTGTAAACACAGCCTGAAATCTCGCATCAGTAGGTTTGCTTGTATATACTCCAACACTCTCTCTGTGCAGCAAATCAACATTATAGCCTTGGAGTATAGCTCTCTAACTTCATATAGACCTGCCCGCTACCTCTGCTCAACAGCTTGCTTCATGTCCCCTGCCCAGCCCACCATTAGCGGTCTCTCATCATCGGTAAATTTACCAGCCTTAATGATGTGACCTTGTTATGGGATTTTTCTCTTAATTAGTCCATTGACTTAAGCCGAATTTTGCAATGCATTGCCCTGTTGTTTATCTAAAATCAAAATGTATTCCTGTGTCTTGGGTTTGACATTTCTAGGTCTGATGGTTTCAGCGATAGATGTTCTAAGAATATTCTATGTCCACTTACTGGCAGCCCTCATTATTTTCACTTGCTCGTTCACTCCTACATTATACATCCAGGTCGCTCATCCAGGAACAATATGCACTTAAATCTGTTAGCCTTGTCTTCGAACATCATCCTGCTGACTGTTTTCTGTGGATTCCTGTAGCGTATTACTTAGTGCAGTCGCCTTGCAAGCGAGACGACCCGGGTTCTATTCCCAAGCGGGGTGAAACCTTAGGCATGTTTTCTTACTCCAGACGCCACTGTTTACTCATAGTAAGTAGGAACCTGGTTGTTAACCTGGTGGACCACTTTTTTTATGCACATTCAGCTGCTGCGTTACACCCACAAAACAATTCACTTTACAGTTCATTCATTCAGTATAGTCTGTGAAGCGCAATATCAATTGCAAGGGTTGTTATTACATTATTATTATTATAATTAATATATTCTCAAGTGAACCCTGTTTCTTCAAGGTGTTGATACAGGTTTGGTATTGTTATCAAACCCCTCCCCAACCCACCCCCCTCCAACAGACCCGGTAATATTAGACTACCAACGTATTATTATTATTATCTCAGAGCAATTATACAACACACTAAAACGACTGCGGTGTGATATCAGCATCGCAACAACAAGAGCAAGTGCATGACTGCAGCCAGACAGTCTTCAGTTTAGCAATTTGCAGCAGGAAATATTCCAGTGGGATGCACTCTGAGTTTGTCCATGTGTGATTGACTGCATTCGGATTCAGTGCATCAAGACACCCACATATTGTAGCTCTTTGATTTATTTCTTGTCAGTGATCCAGACACTATTTGGGGAATGGAAGTAGTTGAACCAACAACAACAAATTACACTTGTACAGCGCCTTTCACGTCCCCAACAGTGAACAGTCAGAGATTTGGACCTGAGTTGGGGGTTGGGATCAGGAGGGATGGGGGGGTAGGGAGGTTGGAAGTCAGGGAGGAGGGTGACCAAAGGCGCGGTCGAAGAGGAGTTAAAGTTAATCTGAGTTAAGGTTGTGGCAGAGGTAAGATTAGTAACCGGGTTGATAGGTTGCATTGGGTACTGTGGTGTGAACATTAACAGCCTTTGCTTTTATTCCAGGTTCTCCAATGCTTTCTCTTATTATGGACTGGTGCTACTAACCACCGAACTCTTCCAGGCTGGAGATGTGTGCAGTAGTAAGTTGTGATAATTCTTGCATTTGACACAACACCATGCAAGTCAGGAGGATGTCTCGCAGGATTTCACTGTAAAGACTACAAGTTTGTAGGTGAAAGCAGCAGCCGATTTGCGATAAGCAATGCCCTGTAAGTGGCTATGAAATGAATGACCAATTTTATCTGGGGGATCGTTGGACAGGACGGGCTGTATCCTGACAGGCGAGGGATTTGCTCAAATTCAAAATTTAGCGTTTGGGGATCTTTTACTGGCACAAATCGCACGGGAAAAGAACCAGAGGCGGTGACGAGGAGAAATATTTTTTTACACCACAAGTTGTTACGATCTGGAATGCGCTGCCTGAAAAGCTGGTGGAAGCAGATTGAATAATAGCTTTCGAAAGGGAATTGGACAGGCAACTGAAAAAGAAAAATTTGGCAAAGCTATGGGGAAAGAGCGGGAGAGTGGGACTAGTCGGTTGCTCGTTCAAAGAGCCAGCACAGACATGATGGGCTGAATGGCCTCCTTTTGTGCTGTGAGATTCTATGATTCTGAGATAACGCTTTGCTTTCAATGTTGTGTTTTAGTGTCAACAGGTGGGAGGAAGCCTGAGGGGAGGTGTGCCCTTGAATGTAAGTACCTCAACGCCACGGACTACACAGACCTGCTGTGGACAACACTGTCCGAGTTCCCAGGTAAGAAGCAGAAGGAAGCTTTGGTACAAACTTGTGTTGAGAACATCAAAACCCGTCGCCTCGTCATGTTCGGCAGTTCCCGCATCAACTACTCAAATGCCCTCCTCTCCCTCACTTCCCAACTCGAAACCATTCCTCACACTCCCAACATAACCATGGCTTCATTCCTTGCCTACACCTCAGCTTCAAAGCACCACCGGCTCCCATTCCCTAACTCACCCCTCAGCCGAACTTACCAGTTACCTCACAAAAGTACAGGATGTGGAGGTCCATGTTCAGGTGTGACTTGGAGATGGCCGGTACCTATGTTCCTCATGTCTTCATCGTTCTGCAGGTGTTCTGGTGACCCTGTGGATCATTGACCGCATTGGGCGTAAAAAGACAATGGCCGTGTCCTTCTTCATCTTTTCCTTCTGCGTCGTCCTTCTGTTCCTGTGTGTGGGCAGGTGAGATTTTGAAATACACTTAAATATCACTGGTGTGCGTGTGTTCACGGGACAGAAAGGCCGGCTGTGAATGCGGAGTTACTTCTCCAGAGTGGGAGTCAGCTGTCGTTGGAATAGGGACACATTTTGCACAGGTGTCACTGATGCCACTTTGTGAAGGAAGTGACATTAGCAGTGCTTGTTACACAGAGCGCGCATGTGCAGCACACAGGAAGTGATGTCCCTGGTGTTGGTGGAGTCCTGTGTTTAGAGCTCTCGCCTCGCAAGCGAGAGGACCCGGGTTCAATTCCCAGTCAGGGCGAAACGTTGGGCAAGTTTCCTTACTCCACACGCCTCTGTGTACCTAGGAATGAGTAGGAACCTGGTTGTTAGTCGATTAGCGGATGGCTTTTCCGGGGGTGATAATCCCCTTAAAAAAAATTGGTCACTCAATCCACGACTGTTTGTGGGACGCTGCTGTGCGCAATTGACCGCCGCGTTTCGCCCACCGAAGACGCAGTCAATTCACTTCACGGTATATTCCGTGAGGCCCTTTGAAACGTCTCGAAGATGTGATGAGGCGCTATATCAAATGCAAGGATTATTATTATTATTTTTTCCTGTACATAACATACAATGGTGTAACACACAGAGGAACCCATGTCAGTGGCGCTTACATGTATGAACATTACATATAGTCATGACAGTGGTGTCCTAATGTTCCAGAGGTGGGACAGGCAGCCTCTCGTTTGCGCACCATAATGATGTGGAGTCTCAATTTTTTTAATCTAAAAACTAATGGTGTTTCCCTGTATTTCCTCTTTCCTATCAGTTAGTACTTTAGTTAGGGATTGACCCTTTCCTGCTTTTGTTTTCCTTTCGCAGGATGGCCCTCACAGCGTTCCTGTTTATTGCCAGAGCTTTCATATCAGGAGGCTTTCAGGCTGCGTATGTTTATACCCCTGAGGTAAGCACAGAGGACACTGGTGCTTCCAAGAATTCTCTTAACAAGTTGTCTGTTATTCAGGAATAAGTCATCCTGCATAGGGCAGAGAAAGTGCAAGTCACCTTGAAGTCACTACACTTTATAATAATAATATTAATATAATCTATAATAATATCATTTTAATAAATAAGAAATATATTTATAAATATTTTGATGATTATAATAATAATAATACCATTTTATTACCATAATCCACCAATAATAATAATAATAATAATAATTTAATAGACTAAACTCTGTACAGCATGTTGTGATAAGGCACTAAATCAAATGCAAAGATTATTATTACATCCTTCACTTAAATGAACGGAAAGGTCACAATTTGCTTGAAAATTGCCTCTTCTTTACATCTTCCAGGTTTACCCAACTGCGACCCGAGCCCTGGGGCTGGGCACCTGCAGTGGGATGGCCAGAGTTGGTGCTCTCATCACTCCTTTCATTGCACAGGTACAATGCCCTGTTCTCCTCTGGCCCCAGGGTGACATGCCTGGCCAAGGACCGTCAGAATCGAGTCCCCACCCTCTGTGGCGGTCTCAGTAGTCTGGTTTCTGAGCCAGACGTTTCCGCAATATTCCAGGGCAGCAGCACAGCTCATTGGCAGGACTTGTAGGGGCAGACCAGTCACTGGGAGAAGGAAGTCATCCCACTCAGCTCCTGTTAGCCCTGCAAGCCAGAACTCTACAGACAGGGTGGTCCTAGCTGGGCAAGCGGGGGTGAGGGATGGGGGGTGGTGGGGGGAAGATTGCCAGATTGCTCAAAGCAGTTTCCATTGACCTAGCAATATCCCGAGGCACACTGTGGGGTCACCCAAGCCTTAGCGCTTGCCAACCTACACCTAAAACTTAATTAGTTAAGCAGGGTGCACCCCTCCAGTGAGAGAGTGGGCGCGTTTCATTCTAGACTTGGAAATTTCCATGTGGAGGTGGTGGACATATGTGGAGCTTTGTCTGGTATGGATACTGTTAAGCAGTGAGATGGTTTTCCAGATGTACTGTAAAGTGCCTCGTTTAAGAGAATGTTTTCTTCCCCAACCAGGTGATGTTGGAGTCTTCGATCTACCTGACGCTTTCAGTCTACAGTGGATGCTGTTTATTGGCAGCCCTCGCCTCCTGCTTCCTACCCATTGAGACCAAGGGAAGAGGCCTACAGGAGTCCAGCCAAAGAGAGTGGGGGCAGGAAATGGTGGGCAGGACGCACAATTCCAACACTTCGACCAGCAACACCTAGAGAGAAGGCACAATGAGATAGATTGCTCCTCACACACTAATCCTTGATCTCACAGGAAGCTAGCCCTATTAATAGACAGCCACTCGAACAGTCATTAAAATGTGAGTATAAACTGGTAAATGAATCATTGCTGTTAAAATAAGACAACGGATGTTTTAGGCGGACTGGTGTAGTGCCTAGTGAACTATAAAGAGGGAAAGCCAGCCTTTGATAGCTTGTCACAGTCTGATACAGAGAAGCTTCGTGTTACAAATTCATTTTGCTTAGTCTGAAGCCAAATCTGTTTACCTCGCAGTAAGATCTGCGAATCGCTTTCTGCGGGTAATAATCCCTTAAAAAAAATGATAAATAATTTGTGGGCACTCAATCCACAACTGTTTGTGCTGTGAGCAATTGGCGGCCGTGCTTCACCCACAAAGTATACAGTCAATTCACTTTACAGTATATTCTGGGAAGTGCTTTGAGACGTCTCAACTACGTGATAAGGCGCTAAATCAAAGTGCGAGGATTATTATTATGATTATTATAGCGTATGTCCTTTTGTTCTACTGTATCGGTACATCTGTAAGTTCATTCTGACCATTTGTCTCATCCAAAAATGATGCACCAACGAGGCTTCTCTGTAACACTGCAATATGCTCGATAAAAAAGTTTAAAGGCAAAAATAGATGTGGGGATAACACAACTTTACTAAACTCACTCTAAGTAAAGGAAACACACTTGTATTGTTTGTTGTGTGTGTGAACAGAAGATTAAAACAGCTACACTGAAGGTGATTATTTACTTCATTGTCAACCATCTGTTGTTAAAAGATGATGTTGCAAATCTACCTTCACTACAATTGGGCACTGAGCAGGATTTATTACATCACAAATGTTGTCTTGAGTTGAGATGTATTTTGTGAGTTTCGCCCACAGAATACACAGTCACTCCACTTTACAATATATTCTGTGAAACGCTTTGAGATGTCACAACGATGTGATAAGGCACTGTATCAAATACAAGGTTTATTATTTCGTTTGCAATGTCTCTAAAGTTGCGGGAGAGTGGATGATAACTTGGAACTACTCGAGTTGAGTTGTCATGAACTGGAACTGATGAACTTACCATCCTGTATTCATCAAACAACTAGCCAAGTTTCACCCCTGGAATGATAGATTTTGCAGATAAAATCCTCCTCATTGACAACGACGTGTCTGAGGTTGTGTGCTTGGAATTGTCCAATGGGCTAGCCTATCGTTCCTCCACTCCACGACATACACTTGCTCACCAGCCTCTCTGCTTTCTTGCCATTCAGGCCAGAGTCTGGGAATAGTAAAACACCTTTGCTTTGCATGAGTGACCACAGGCTATAACGTGCAATGTTTTGCTAGTGGTTCGTTAGCACTGACACAGAAAATTATTCCAACCGAGCTGAATCTCAGAGTTTATACATGGCACGTATTTAGAGTGCTGTGGTACGTACACTGCTTGCAAACTGCGTTGGCCTTAGTTTGAATACATTATCTGCAGTTGCTATTAACATTTTGTTATAGGGAATAATCACAGCAAGTGTGCCGAGAGGAGACATTCCATTTGCTGACTGTGGGTTGGACGGGACTGCAAGCAGAAGGGCCAGAAGCCTAAGACTTTTTTATTTCATCTAAAGTTTTAATGTGTCCCAAGTATTTTTCTAATTTTCTCCCCATTGGCAGATGCCTTTGCACCTTGTCCCCAGCCTCAATGGTGTCTTGTAGGCAATGGGAGTCCTGTAGCTCAGTGGTTAGAGCACTCGCTTTGCAAGCGAGACACCTGGGTTCAATTCCAGGCAGAGGGCGAAACCTTGGGCAAGTTTCCTTACCCCACACAGAGCCTAATAATAATCCCTCCAAAAAAATATAATAAATTGGTCATTTTCAATCCACGACTGTTTGTGGGACACTGCTGTGCGCAAATGGCTGCCACATTTCGCCCACAAATATACAGTTAAATCACTTTACAGCATATTCTGTGAAGCGCTTTGAGACATCGAGAAGACGTGAAAAACACTATATCAAATGCAAGGATTATTATTATTATTATTATGGTTAGAGCATTCACCTCACAAGAGAGAGGTCCCAGGTTTAATTCCTGGGTGGGGCAAAACCTTAGTCAAGTTTCCTTACTCCACACACTTCTGTTTACCTAGCAGTAAGTAGGAACATGGGTTCAATTCCCGGATTTGATCCCAATTGACGGATCGCTTTCCTGGGCTAATAATCCCCCCAACAAAAAAATAATAATTTGGTCACTCAATCCACGGCTGTTTGTGGGGACGCTGCTGTGCGCAATTGGCTGCCATGTTTTGCCCACAAAATACACAGTCAATCCACTTTACAGTATATTCTGTGAAGCGCTTTGAGACATCTCAATGATGTGATAAAGTGCTACATCAAATGCAAGGATTATTATTGTTATATTATCCTTTCCATTGTTTCATTATATACTCAAGGACACCAGTTTCCTTCTGGAACTGTGCATTTGGTGCATAATTCATGTGCTTTGCACACATGGTCCATAATAGCTCGACTGATCCTTTTATTCAGCTGGTGTGGCCTTTCCAATCTGTATCTGGGAAGAAAGAGGAATGTGGACACACACTTGGATTCATGCTAGTGTCCCCCATTTTGTTTAATGATGTGACAATATTGATTTTGTCTCCAAACAAATGATCCAGGCATTCTTGTGCTGCCTGAGTTCACCCCATGCCTAGTGCCCAATATTGGCTCGTCCCAAGGTTTCTGCGTATTGGTTGTGTGTGTCACTACCTGGGTCTCCTGTGAAGTGTCTCTATAACGAACTGTGAGAGTGTGTTCAAGTATGAGTTAAAGCCTGGACTTGACAATGTTAATAAAAACTGTGCTTTGATGTTCAGTGTATACTTGCAAATGCTTCTGTACATCAAGTGACTCCTGTCTTGTGTTCGAATGTATATGACTTGTTCCCCATTGTGGGGGACGGACCATTTTACTGTTTACAGAATGTATGCAGGGTTTGCATGTTACATCCACTTGTTACAAGTAGGCAACGGATTAATGTACATAACAGACCGCTTCAAATTAACAGGAACAAATGTCTTAATGGTATAATAACTGTTTGCATTTAAATATGTAAGAAAAAAAACACAGATCATAATTTTATTATTAAATGAAGATTCTGTTTTATAAGTCATTTGGTGTGTATCGAGTTCATTTAGTGATTTATTACTTAAGAGGTAATGGGTTACTTAAAGCGACATTTGTGACAAACTATTACCATTGGTCACCATTGCTAAGAAGCTGACTTTATTAATCTGGAGCATTATTTGTTGTTACTCGGTTTCAATGCAACGTAGATTTGTAATTGTTTCAATTACATACGTTTCACTCACAAAATATACAGTCAATTCACTTTACCGTGTAGTCAGTGAAGCGCTTTGAGACGTCTTAATGATGTGATAAGAGCTATATCAAATGCAAGGATTTTTTTTATTATTATTGCTGTGTGCAAATTAGCTACCATGTTTTACTCAGAAATTATACTGCTTTGCAATTATTCTGTGAAGCCCTTTGAGACGTCTTTATGATGTGTTAAGGCTCGATATCAACCGTAAGGATTATTATGTTTTATTATTAAGAATAATAAGCTGCGCTGATAAGACTCAGCGTGCACCTTCTCTTTGTTAACCTGTTGATCAAAAATGGCTCGTCTTTTGAAGTTAATGTCATATTCTTTATAGCAAATCCCGACGTGAACAGAGCTTTATCAAATGTATTGATTATTGTAATCTTGTTATGATTTCTACAATCGTGCTGCAGAAATAAGACAGGATAAGATGCATTTTAGTTTCACGATCGGACTTAGTTTAAAATATAAAATGTGATTGGGTGAGCGAGTGTTAATAACACCAGGAGGAGAGCAAAGTCTCAATGGTTGAATGGCATCCTATCTTATCTATGCTATAGTTTCTTGGTCTATGGAGTGAGCTGCCAAAGGAGGCGTATTAGAAAGTCTGGAACTGGAGCAGGAAAGGATTGGCTACAGAGGAACATATTGTATTTGCCTCCTAACCCCATAGCGCTGTCTCCAATGAATTCTAAGGTCGTTAATTAGACGAGTGCTTGAGAAAGTGTAAGGCACAACTTGGCGTAACTATCTAGGAACGATTACAGCCGAGATGATGGCAGCCAGTTGGATTTCTTCTCTTTCAATATCTTCCCAAAGAGATTTGCTGCCTCCAAGGCACAGCCCCAGTGGATGGTCAGCCCATAACCTCCGTGGCCATAATTGTGAATCACCTGTGAAAATGATAGTGATTAAACCTATTTGTCTCCTTCCTTCCTTCTATCAGATAAAAAGCAACTTTCTCCCACAAACACACAGTCCCTGCGGTTTACAGTATATTGTGGAATCCTGTAGCGTAGTGGTTAGCACTAAACCTTAGGGGCGAAACCTTAGGCATGTTTCCTTACTCCTATTTGTTCCGCATGTTCTGTGGTACCCACCTCAAGCTTCCCTGGTCCATTCCCGAGAGTCTGGCGTTCCAAGCGGATCCTGTTGCGTGTTGGGCGCAGTCCGGTCCATTCATCCATGATCTTGGCGTTCTGCGAGAGACGAGTGACTGTGTCAATAACACGAGACCTTGTGTATTGTTGATGAAAGACCACCAATAAATCAGACAGCGGATTTCGCTTTTTTGTTTTCAATTGGACTAAATAACTACCCAGTTCCATCGTTCCTTCCTCTTGTCTTTCTGATCATGAGGGGTGTGAGGGGCGCTATATAAACCAAGTTGTTGTTGATGATCATGCACGATAGTGCCACCTAGAGGCGGTCGACCGGTTCGAGTTCCCTCCTGTGGAAGGGCTGGGAGCAGGAACCCTGACCGGTTTTCCCCTCCCTCACCCAGGGATGGCCTGAGCCAAATGAGTGCCCTCATGTAGCCTCAGCTGAGACCAACAAACTTAAGAACTCCAACCACTCCTCCAATGACTCAGGCTCCACTCAGAATGAACATCTTCAAACCAACCTTCAGGCTGGGGACCAGTTTGCAGCAACCCTCCCACACTTTGTCGTGGTCCTGGATGTTGTTCTCTTCATTCCAGTTCCCAAGCTGGAAGATGCCTCCCAAGGTCACTAATCTACTCCTAAAGGGAAACGAAAGAAATATTGACTGGAATGGAATGTCATTTTTGAGTTCCGCAGCGTATTGGTTAGGGCGTTCGCCTTGTGAGGACCCGGGTTCCATTCCCGGGCAGGGCAAAACTTTAGGCAAGTTTCCTTACTCGGCACGCCTCTGTTTACCAGCAGTAAGTAGGACGTCGGTTGGTAGTTGATTGGCGGATCACTTTCTGGGGGGTAATGATCCCTTCAAAAATAAGTTTTTAAAAATTTGGTCATCCAATCCACGACTGTGTGTGGGACATTGCTGTGCGCAATTGGCTGCCACGCTTTGCCCACAAAATATACAGTCAATTCACTTTACAGTATATTCTGTGAAGAGCTTTGAGTCGTCTCAAAGACGTGGTAAGGCGCTATATCAAATGCAAGGATTATTATTATTATGATTACTCTTCCAAAGTCTTTAAATGTTTGCCTGTTTCTTACCCTGGTAAAATATATGGCAGTGAATATATTCCACCGTGGGCATCGTGCGCCAAGATGAAGTGTTTTAGCCACGGTGCGTAAACCTGGGCGAGAGATGAAAATTAGATGAATATTAATCAGCCAGAAACACACGTTTGTATATTAACAACAAGTTCCCCACCCCTTCCCCAGATCAATGTGAGGTTTTGCTCCAAGACAGATACAAGTGGCGGCGCAGAGAACATTTCTCAGTCTGGCTCAGTTGGTATTACTCAATACACACAGTCACCACACTCTACAATTAGGTAAGCAGGGTGTGTCCCTCCAGCGAGAGAGTGTGTATTCCATTCCAACAATTTGCCGCTGGGATTTCCAAGGGTAAGTGGGATGCACGGAATTCTCAGTTTGGTTTGAATACTCTTAAGCGCGGTGATGGGTTTCAGCATTTGTCAGATAACCTGGCTGACAAAAAAAAACTCTGCAATAAATCCTGTAAAACACATCAAGACATTTTGACGGTGTGATAAGGCCCTATATCAAATACTAGGATTATTATTTATCACTCCACTAATTCCCCTATTATTGTACAGTATTAATGAATTCAATTTATAGCTCTATGTAAGATCGTTTTGTTCTTTTCCTGTTATAGAGAAAATTTCTTGCAAATTATCTTTTCTGGATATCCAGAGCTGTTGCTCAGCACCATGAAGTTTTCAATGGGCTTTTTTCTTTGGCCAATTTGGGGTCAGGAAGACTGTAGGAATGAGAAATGGGTGTGAAATGTTAAAGCGACGTCAATCACCTTAATAATCTGTCCACGGGCTGGTATGATCTCTGGGTCAGGCTGGAGGTCACCAGCACGGACACCTGTGCAGTTCACCACCACATCGAAGGTTGGAGATAACTAAGATGGGAACAACAACAACTTGGATTGACACTGCACCCTTCACCCGGGGTAGCGATCCACAAGCTTAACAGGTAGTTTAATGCCAAGATGGGGGAAAGGGTAGGTCAACGTAGGCATGGTCGAAGAAGAAAGCCTTCTGAAGATGGGCAAAGAGGGGCTGAGGGCGGAGGGATTGAGACAGGGAGTGCCAGAAGTTTGGGGTGTACTGGCTGAAAGCACGGCTGCTGACGGTAGAGAAAAGGGGTTGAGGGATGTGCAGATAGCCCTAAGTAGCTCGGCAAAGTGGAGCAAGGAGGTGCGAGTAGGTCAAAGAGGTAGGGAGGTGCCAGGGCATGAAGTAATTTGTGGGTGAGAGTGAGGATCTTGAAATCGATCCGTTCTGTGACAGGGAGCAAGTGGAACCTGGCTTGACTGGAGTGATAGGGGTGTGGAGTTTGTTACAGGCGCACAAAGACCCACAAGAAAGTACACACCTGACCATCGATGAACCCGCACGCAGATACGCAGAGTCAGAATCGTGATCGACCCAGGGAAACAATACTAGAATATAACATTAAAACAAACTTACCTCTTGAAAGGAAGTAATTTTCTTTTGAATAAATTTCACCCCACGTTCTTTTAACCTTAAATACAAAGATACGTCAAAATACACAGTCAATCCACTTCAGAGCATATTCTGTGAAGCACTTTGAGATGTCTCGATGATGTGATAAGGCCTTATATCAAATGCAAGGATTATCATTATTATAATCATTATTATCTTTCACGTTAGGAGGACAACCAAAAAAGGCTTGACACTGTGGGTTGAAGTTTTATAAACTGTTGAATTTGTTTTATGGCCACGGTGGCAACTGGAAAAAAAATGAACGAAATAGATTAAACTACCTTTCCATCAGCCATGGTAAGTAGCTTTTCCCCTCGAGCATCAGTGAGGTGTTAAACCAACCATAACTGTAACACACAAAGCAAACACTAGAGAACACACATTTATCTATTCCTCCTCCAACAAATCCACTGTGGTCATGTACAAATGTCGCTTATCCTACTTTTTCATCTTGTATATTCAAACTAGCTATTCGGGAGGACCCGGGTGGAGTGAAACCTTCGGTCAGTTTCCTTACTCCACATGCCTCTGTTTACCTAGCAGTAAGTAGAAACCCTGGTTGTTAGTCGATTGCTTTGACTTAGAGCCTCCAGGTGTCAATAAATACCTGAATTCAGGAAATAGTTCAAGTTCCTTCGCTGTCAAGTGTCTGAAACCCAAAACCGCGTCACTCCAAGACGGATCCTGTGAAGCACAAAGAAGGGCAAAATCTCGTTCGGTATGTCTTACTTCATTCTTTCATCACTCGTGGTGTGACCGGCTACTCAGTGACCTCAGTGTTACAGAAATTGTAAAAACAACTTGCATTTATATAGTGCTCCTCTCACAGGATAGTGTCCCAGAGCACTTGACAGTGGTGGAACAGGACACCTAGCGGGGATGAGATGTCTCAACGATGTGATAAGCCATTGCATCAAATGCAACAATTATTACTATTATTATAGTGAGGTCCCACGAACATTGTTGAGGTGAGTGTCCCACTTATTGGGAGGACAGTTGTCCAGGGAAAAATTCCCTTCTCTTTTTAAATCATTTGGTGGGATCTTTAATGTCTGCCTAAAGTATTTGCTCTAGACAATTCTTCCATCACAACATCAAGCTTATAAGAGGCCCAGTGTTCTGCCCTAAACCATCCTTTCATGGAGACCTGATCCAGCCATGAACTACTTACGGGAACTGGTTCCTTGAAGATGTTGTATCCAGACTGTAAAAACACGCCCATCTGATCAGCGTCCGGGGAATTCACATAAGTCTTGAGATAATCAAATGTTTCCTTGTTCCACTTGCTACATTTGAAACACAGGAAAGAGGTTCAGTGGAGAGACCAACCTGGTGCCAACATCACTATTATTGTTCACACAACACGCTGTTTAAGAGCAATTTTATCATTAGGGGGCACTCCAATAAAGTTTGGTGTGAGGTAGAACAGAGAGAACTTCGCTCGGTGTCTGACCTACGCTCAACACAGACACTGAATGCCTGAAATAGGATTTGTTTAAATTGCCAGGAATGCGCACTCTCTCCGTTTACCTAATTGCAGGTAAGTGTTAGACACGGGTTGGCAAGAGCCAAGGCTGAGAGACCCCAGAATGTGTTGGGGTAACTAATGGAGTCTAACCAGCTTAAACCATTGAATATCACTGTCTGCCAAGCTTTCCCGACGCTTGTCCAGCTAGGACCACCGTACCCGCTAGGGCTTTGGCTTGCAGGTTTAACAGCAGCTGAGAGGAAGGATTCCCTGCCCCACAGACTAGTCAGCGTTATGAAACTCTGTCACAATTTCAACCACTTTCCTGATGCAAATGATTTTAGTTTCAAAATGAATGTCTCTTACGTTTCCTCTGGCTTATTGGCATCCAGTGTATAAGGTTGCCAGAAGCCAGCAGCCCCATCGCTGGTGGTGTGTGGCGTGAACTTGTCTGCAAACACCACCATATGGAGATGTTTGACTTCAGACTGGTAACGATTGATGATGCATTGAGCCGTGGACAAGCCAATCACGCCCGCTCCGATCACTGCCACATGCATTTTCCTCGGAGAGACAGTGACAACAGGTAACTGAAAAGAAAATAGAGCAAAGTGGGAACTGAGTTCCTGAGATCAACTGAAATGAATTTGAGTTTCGCAGAATCAGCACATGGTCATTGACCCTTGTGCTTTGGAATAAACTGCACTAATTATTAACCATCCTGCTTGCAAAATATGCCAAGTGCATAAGAGGTGAGTAAAATTTTAAATAGGATTGAAAAAGTGAACCCAGGCATTAATAATAATATTCCTTGCATTTGATATAGCCCCTCATCACGTCGTTGAGACATCTCAAAGAGCTTCACAGAATATACTGTGAAGTGAATCGACTGTGTATTTTGTGGGCGAAACACGACAGTCAATTGCGCACAGCAATGTCCCACAAACAGTCGTGGATTGAGTGACCAAATTTTTTTTGAGGCATTGTTACCCCCAGAAAGTGATCTGATTAACAACCGGGTTCCTACTTACTATAAGGTAAACAGAGGCGTGTGGAGTAAGAAAACTTGCCTATGGTTTTGCCCACCTGTGAATCGAACCTGGGTCCTTTCGCTTCCGAGGCGAGCGCTCTAACCACTACGCTACGGGATTCCACAGACAATATTATAGAATACACCAAGACAGGAGAACGAAAGGATATAGGTTCAGAATTCTATTTTTCTCCACTCCACTCAGAGGTTAATTAACGACTGGAACAGATTGCCAGGAATATTAAAGCCAGGGCACTGCTTTAAAAAGCGGTTTCTGTGATTGGAAGAACAGTAGGGTGGTTATTCTGGAGGCATGAGATCAGATGGGCTGAAGGGCATTCTTCAACCAAACCAATCTTGTGTTCCTGTTAAAAGTTTTTCTTGCTATTTTACTTCAATTCGGAAAAGCTTCAACACTGTCAAAACCAAGCGGCGTGATGGAATTGTGCTGTGGAATAAGGGGAATGTTGGTTCCATGTCTGTGATCAATTTGGCTGTAGTGTTGCACAAGTCCCTACATTTACAGAAAAGCCTGTGAAGCTATTTGACAAACGTGATTGGGCACTATGTCAAACTCAAGGATTATTGTGATTGTCACGAGTGTTAGAGGCAGGTTTGCACATCCAAATTTTTCTGGACTGCTGAGCTACCCCAACTTGAAAATACCTTTGGAACTCCATCCCACAGTCCCTTCACCTCGCCCCCTCCCGAGACCCGTCTCAAGATCGTCCTCTTCGACCGCGCCTTCGATCATCCCCTACCCCCGTCCTCCCCACCCTCCACCCCTCCTGATCCCAACCCCTAACTCGGGTGCAAATCCTTGAGCTTTGGGACCTACTTGTGACGTGAGAGGCGCTGTGCAAGTGTAATGTTATTGTTGTTGTTGATATGGATTAAAGTCGATTTAAATTGCATCCTCTTTCTGTTCACAAATAACCTTTTGATGCACCTCTTTCTCTCCCGTGGTCTCGGCACATCACACGCTTCACTTTACGCGAGAACAGAGGGATTGGTTGGCAGAACTCCCGACAGTGCTCTGTGCAGCTGTCTGCTGGACGGCATGGTAATAGCCCAGCGTAACCCCCCCCCCCACCCCCCCCCCCACCCCCTCTAATACTCTCGGGGCCCAACTTCTCCCTATAACGGTTGAGTTGAGATATGCATCAATGTGAGAATCAGAGCTCCGTGGCCTTAAACTGATTTGCGGTTCGCCTCGGTCCTTCCAACACCACTCTCGCACTTCACTTGACCCCAATTGCTCCCCTCAGATTTTTCATTACACACTTGGAAACGTCCCAATGTGCCTCAACTCCGATGCAAAAAAGTGGAACGAGCCTGCAGAGTCTCACGCTAGCTTACACTGTGTTGTTTTGTCAGTTTCTCGAATATATATGGCCGGCTAGTTTGGTGCTTCCACTACCAGGTCACAGTTAACACTACAGTATACCACAAGGAGCAAACGCAAACTGCTTTTCAAAATGCATCCTCCTTCTGTAGGGGGGTGGGGTGGGGTGTGGGGGTGGGGGTGGGGGGGGGGTACGGTCCTGTTGCATATCGGGTCGGAGCGAAACCTTAGGAAAGGTTTCCTTACGCCGCACCACGCCTCTGTTTGCCTAGCGGTAAGTAAGTAGGGACCCGGTTGTTCGGCGATTGGCGGATCGCTTTTTTTACCGGGGCGCGATAATCTGTTTAAAAGAACGAATCAATAATAACTCGGTCACTCGATTCGCGAGCGTTCGCGGGACGCCGCCGCCTGCGCCCCCGTTGGTTGCTCCGCCAAAGCCGACGGTCCAGTCGACTTTGCGCGATCAAAGGCGCCGGAACCGAACGCAAGGAATATTATTATCGTTGTTTTGGCCGCAGCGCTTGCGATCCGTCACAGCAAACCTCGGGTTCGGGCCCTTACGTTTAACGCGAACTCACGCAAATGTAGTTATTCGTGGAGTCCTGTGGCTCAGTGGTTAGAGCACTCGCTTTGCAAGTGAGAGACCTGAGTTCAATTCCAGGCAGAGGGCCAAACCTTGGGCAAGTTTCCTTACTCCACACAGAGCCTAATAATAATCCTCCAAAACCAAAAACAATAATAAATTGGTCATTTTCAATCCACGACTGTTTGTGGGACATTGCTGTGCGCAATTGGCTGCCGCGTTCGCCCACAAATATACAGTCAATTCACTTTACAGTCTATTCTGTGAAGCGCTTTGGGACGTCCTCCCGACGTGAAAAGCGCTATATCAAATGCAAAGATTATTATTATTATTATTATTGGTTTGTGTCAAAGTTACGCCACGAGTCGGAGCAAATCTGACCGGCGTTAGGTTGTGCGCGAGTCGCACCTTACACCGACCCTTCAAACACCACCGCCACCCCATCAAATAGCCGCCCCCCACCCCCCCCACTTACTGCTGCATTTCAAGCCCCGCCCCTGCAATCAAGCTCCACCCCCTTGTGCATTCACTCGAGCCCCGCCCTCGGACGTAAGACCCACCCTCTGCGCCTCGAGGCCCCACCCCCTTCACATCACCCCGCCCTCTGCAGTGCCCCGCCCCCCTACCGGTCTCGCCCTCGTCTTGTACCTACACCCCACCCTCCTCGCGCCGAGCCCCGCCCTCTGCAGAACAAGCCCCGCCCCTACACCTCAAGCTCCGCCCCTACCCTCCGGCCCCCAGCCCACTGTATCCAAGGCCCCGCCCTCTACACCACAAGCCCCTCCCCTTCCCCCACCCTGGGGCGGCGCACGCCCAGGCCCCGCCCGGGTCCAAGCCCCCACCCGTACGGTCCAGCCCCGCCTTGTACCCATGCCCCGCCCTCCGTGCCACAAACCCCGCCCCTTGGACCTCAGGTCCCGCCCCCTGGCCTCCAGGCCCGGTAGGCCCCGCCCCCCCCCGCGTCGGCGCACGACGCCACGCGAGCCCCGCCCTCCCTCCACGCGTCGGCGCACGACGCCACGCGAGCCCCGCCCTCCCTCCCCGCGTCGGCGCACGACGCGTCGTAAGCCCCGCCCCCCCCCCCCGCGCAACGGTCAGGCCCCGCCCTCCCGGCGCAGGCGCAGTGCGGGCGCTCCGGGCTCGGAGTGGTGCTGAAGGGAGAGCGGCGGCGGCGGCGGCGGCCCCTCCTTCCCTCTCCCGCTCCCCCCCCCCGGTTCATCATGGCGCTGGTGACGGTGCAGCGCTCCCCGACTCCCAGCGCCTCCTCCAGCCCCAGCGTGTCGGTGAGTACTGGGTGTGAGTGTGTGTGTGGCTCGGGGCCGGGGGTCGGGGTCGGGCTGGTGGTGGGGGTGTGTGTAGGCCTCGGGGTGGTGTTTACAGCCTTTCCTGCCCCCCCCCCTCCCCCCACCCCACTCCTCCCCCTCCCCCACACACACACCCTCCCTCCCCCCCCCCCCCCCCCAAAAAAAAAAGACGCTGTTACTGACCTCTTTTATATAACGTTTTAACCCAATGATATACACGGTTTTTAGTGTCCCCGGTGGGGCTGTGGCTGTGTGTGGGGGGGGGGTGTGGGGGGGGTGGGGGGTGTGTGTGTGTGTGTTAACCACCGATATAACCATTAACTGGTATTAAACTGGTCAAATGTTTTCAAGGAAAAAACGAAAAAAATTAATAATTAATTGATATGAAAGCCCTCTCCCCCCCACACACCCACATACACACACACACCCACACACACACACCCACACACACCCCCCCCCCCACACACACACCCACCCACACACACACACACACACCCACCCACACACACACACACACACACACACCCCACATACACACCCCCACACACACCCACACACACACCCACCCACACACCCCACACACACACACACACACACCCCACATGCACACCCCCACACACCCACACACCCCCACACCCCCACACACACCCACACCCCCACACACACACACCCCCACAAACACACCCACACACAAACACCCCCACCCCCCCCCACACACACACACACACACAATTAATATAATATAAAACCAATTAATCTAACCCAAATCAGGGGGAGGAGGATGGGGAGGGGGTCATGTAAATATTACATAAACAATAGTCATAATAATAATAATCAGAAAAATAATAATAATAATTCTGATAATAATTCTGATTATTATTATGATGATGATGATGTAGACATGAATGTGAATTAATAACTGGCAATTTTTGGGGGGGTCAGGAGCAATGAAATGAACTGTTGAAAATTGATTGTGAACGAATGGATGTTTTTTTTTAAAAAATATTAAGTGAAATCGCCACTGTTTTTTTTGACCCCCCCCACACGCCCTCACCCCCGCCCAGAAACAAAATTAGTTGCGTTGTGTGTTGTGTATCCTCGAGTGCAGCTATCTGGTCCCATTCCTGGAAAGACAACGCTTGCTTTTTAAAATAATAATAATAATAATAATGTCAGCCAATTGCACACGGCGGTGTCCCACAAACAGCCGTGGAGTGAGTGACCTATTTTATCTTTTGCGGATTGTTGGCCAGGACACCGGGAGAAACTCCCTTCTCTTTTTGAACAGTGCCACGGGATCTTTTTAGGTCCACCTGAACAGGCAGATGGGACCTCGGTTTAACGACTCATCTGAAGGACGGCACCTCCGACAATGCAGCACAGCCCCAGCACTGAATTGGAATAGTTTCCCGATACAGTGCATTTCCTAATCATCCTTGCACTTGATTTAGTTTCAGCATTGTTTAAACGCCTCAAAACGTTTCACAGATAATTGCGGTCAAGTGTAGTGACTGTAGGGGAACTAAGCAGTCAATTCGCACACAGCAATGGAAGGATATGCGAGGGAGTAAAGAATGGGTGAAGCCTTGTATGAACACTGGCCGTGCAGCGTGGCTTCCATTCTGTACGTGCTATGTAAATCTTCTTTACGGACAGTAAGCGGACGGACAGTTAACTGGAGGATTGTTGGCCAGAACACCGGGAGTAATTCCCTTCTTTTTTCCGGTAGTATCACGGGCTGTTCAGATTTGAATTCAGAAGCATAGAAATGTGACACTGCTCGCTCAGTGTTGCTGTGTGGCTTGATGCAGGCTCACTATGTGAGGCCTGTTGCTGCTTCACATACGCTGCCGTCCCCCCCTGAATTTGACCTCATGCCCATGATCTCTCCTTAGCCCATATTTGTATAATCTGTC